CACAGGCCAGTTGCCTGATGTGGCTTGGCTGATGTTTCAGGAAGTTTTCTTTGTTGTTGAAACTGTGCTTAATGCTCTCCCTGGATTATGTTTCCATATCCAGAACAGTCTTACAAAAGTCTATTATTAGCTGTGATTTACAAAAGAAAAAACAGGCAGAGAGAGCAGAAATGACTTGTTAAAAAACACACAGCTAATCAAGGGGCAGAGCAGGGATGTTTGCCCCACTTCCTTAAATTCTAAAGCCTGTACATTTTATGACTGTCAAATAGCAGAAAAGTGAATAGGAACTCCGCCGCTGCTGTTCTCGTGAACAAAGTGGATTCTATTGAGGAGATGTAAGTAAAGAAGAGAATTGCTTGGTCAAATAAAAACGAATGTCATTGCTTGGTTAAATAAAAACAAATATTACTACTAATCAGGTGAGCAGGATCTCTAATACTGGTGGGGGGGGGGAAGTCAGGAAATCATTTATTTTCAAAAAAACACTAATTACACACATACAAATTCTTCTGAGTAAAAATGCCAAGAATACTAGTGTTGTCTGCAGCCTAAAGAGAACTTCTCTAGTTTGGCTGGCACTGAAATATTAGAATTTGATCTTCATTCCTCCAGTCTTGAAAGAAAAAGACTGTAATGTCATCGTTCTGTAATAATTAATTATTTTAAGTAACACATAGAGTAAGTCCACTTACAAAAACTTTGGTGAGTAGTAGTAATCTCTTAAGTTTATAAAAATACCATTGAAGGATAAATAAGAGGTAGGGACAACTTTACTCTTGTTGTAGCCTGAAAGCTTTAAATATTAAGCAGAAATTATTTAGCAATTAAAAAAATGAGCTCTCGGGCCACAAAAAGACATGGATGAAACTTAAATGCATATTGCTAAGTGAAATACACCAATTAGAAAAGTCCACATACTTTGTGAATGATTCCCACTATATGACATTCTGTAAAAGATGAAACTGTGGGGACAGTAAAAAGATCTGTGGTTGTCAGGGATTGGAGAGGAGAGAGGGTGGAATAGTCAGAGCACAGAGCGTTTTTAGGGCACTAAAACAACTCTGTCTGATATTGTAATGGTGAATACAGGTCTTTATGCATGTCAAAACCCACAGAATGTACATTGTAAAGAGTAAACCCTAATGTAAGCTATGGATTTTTGGTGATGATAATGTTGTAATCTTGGCTCATCAATTACAGCCAAGATACCACACTAGATACCAAGATAGCCAAGATACCACACTAACACATTAATGTAAGGTGTTAATAGGGGAAACTGGGTTGGAGAGAGCAGAGTGAGGGAGCAGATGGTAATTCTACTTTGGATTCTTTTCTGTAAATCTAAAACTGCTTTAAAAAGAAAAAACTTAATTTTTTAAAGCAGGAGAATCTCATGCTGTTTTTTAGCATCATAGCATCTCTGTAGATGATAGTCCCTTTTGGGGAATAAAAATAATCCCCTCGATGCATAGTAGCAAGTCAGTGCTCGGATTGTGACAACCAAGGGATGTATGAAAGGTCAATTAAACGTCTCTTTGGATTGGAAAGACAAGGGGGACTTTGTGTCACAACAGTTCTCATCCCATGGTACCGTGGAGATGGCAGGAGATAAAACAATACTCTTTATCACCAGCAGATTAACTAGCAGGGGCATATTCTTTCTATTTATCCTATAGGATCCTAAGGACAATTGGCCTTTTGTCCCTACACCTGCTGCAGGGGAACGGAGCCCTTGACTGAGACCTAGTGGGGTTTACCTAAGGCCATGCAGTTCAGATTTCTCGTGTGTGTCTCTGGCAGGACATCCCATTTCCTAATATGCCTTCCAGCAAAGGAACTTCGAGATGGAGCCCTCAGCATTCAGAGGGAAATAAGCCGGTCTACGGTTACTTGAGAAGAATAGTAGGATATAGAAATCCGTGCTGGAGAGCAATACAGTAAGTGTGTGGCATGTTCTGGCTAGGAGCTTCTAGCCAGAATATCTTGCTCTTTCCTGGTCCTTAGGTTCTAACTCAGCACCAGGCACAGAGGGAAGGCTCTATAGAGGTGAGGCTTTGCTAGATGAATGAACCTCCAAAACTTTGCTGAAGAAAAGGAAACAGCAAAATGATTCATTAACATTAACACCTCATTTTTTTCAGCTCTTTCACTACAGTGTCCAGATAAATATCTGTGGGCATGTTTGTGTGTGGATGGCTTTCTGCATTCTAAATCCTTGTTTGGAATGCGATCTGTTGAGTTTTTTGACTGCCTTCTTTTGAGAACAAGACTCCAGTCTTCTTTGCGGCAACCAGCCTTCAGCTTATTCTTAGTGTGTGAAGTTTGAATATTTCTCTTGGCTTGAGAAAATGGTCTGTGGCCTGTGCCCAGTCAATCAGAGTGTTGTTTCCCTTGGCCTCAGTAAATCCAAAGACAGGCACATAAGTCAAGCTGGACCCCTAAGATTCCTACCTGGGATTTTGCTGGCATGATTGGAAAGGAGTGCTGTTTACCTGCTGGGGTTGAGAAATTGTCAAAACCCAAGGCTAGAGTTACTGGTGGATTAAGGAGCCACCACTTGGGGAAAGTCTCATTGAAAATAAAGCCAGAATAGAAGAAAACTTGAGCTGAAAGATGGCCAAAGAACAAGTCGTGGTGGAAATGTTTCAGTAACTTGAACCTGAAGCTAGGAGTCAACACGTTTCCTGGCCCCTTCAATGAAGTGGGCTCTAAATTCCCTGGATTTCAACCACCTTATCACCAATTAAAATTCACTGATAGATTCATTGGGGGATGGGAGCTTTATTATCAATACCGTGTATTGAAATTGTGAGTCTTTACTTTCATATGTCCATGTCCTTCAGATTAGAATGGAGTAGGAAAATCCTACCTGGGAGATGTACTATCCAGAGCCTCCATCACTTCCCTCCACCTAATCAGACTGCCAGATGGAAAAAGATAACATCTGAAAGGAAGAGCCCTTGAAATACCTCTTCCACATCCCAACAAAAGGAAGAATTCTCCTTTGTTAAACATCTCCTTTCACCATAAACTCTTTTAGTGGTTTAGCAAAAGTTGGCAGGTGGCAGAGTTCTCCTGAACAGATTGAGACATCAGAGACTGGGCCCTTGGCCATGCCTGGAACACGTTCTGAAGACATGGCCCATGTCCCCTCTCCCCCTCATTCAGTGTGCCATTAACACTAGGAGTACAATTCAAGAGCTAAGGCAGCTTGGACTTGAAAAATAACCTTGCAGTTCATGGATGGGTTTGAAGGATAAATAGGAATACTCTGTAGCTCTTCGCTCCACTCTGGCCATGATATAATAAAAAGTAACATCTCTTGAGTGCTTCTGTGCCCAAGCATGGTTTTAAATTCTCTTCTTTCATTATTCCTTGTAGCCTTCATCTACTGCAACCCTATGTGATAGATTGATCATACTCACCTTTTCACATTTGAAGAAATGGAACCAAGAAAACTTACAGAATAAGCCTGGGATTACTGAGGAAAATTTAACCCAAGTAGTAAGACCCAGGCTCTCAATCACAACACATTATGTTGTGTTAAAGAATAAAAACAGTGCCTGGACCATGGCTTTAGAAATAGTGGGAATGAATGTTATGACCAGAAGGAAGCTATTGTATAACCTGATAGAAAAACTGAGACTGAAGGAGATAAGTGACTTCCCGAAACTCACATAGTAAGTTAAAGAATGAGGCACTAAAATCCAGCCCTGATGCCCAGGTTCTGTTGGAATGCACTCCTGTCCTTCTAGGACGTATACACTGCACCAAATATCAAGTTACTCAACAGACAGCGGTTGTTAAAATTCTAAAGTATGTCCAGACCAGTGAGCAAGTTGTACCACCCTGAGGCTGTTTCCCTCTCCCCTCAAGACTCCTGGACCTCCCCTGCAATTCAGTAATTAAAGGGTTAATGTCTGTCTCTGAGACTGGCCTTCATTCTCATTAGCCACCTCGCTCCCTCAGTTAGGTAAGTTTTTGTTTGTTTTAAGATTTTTTTCTTTTTCGATGTGGACCAGTTTTAAAGTCTTTGTATTGAATTTCTTAACAGTACTGTTTCTGTTTTATGTTTTAGTTTTTTGGCCATGAGACATTTAGTATCTTAGCTCCCCGTCCAGGGAACGAACCCACACCCCTACAGTGTAGATCAAACCTACATTGGAAGGTGAATTCTTAACCACTGGACTGCCAGGGAAGTCCCTGTTAAGTAGTTTTTGTTTTTTCTTTTCTGGGCATCAATTTATTTATTTTTTAATTAATTTATTTTAATTAGAGGATAATTGCTTTACAATATTGTGATGCTTTTTTCCATACATCAACATGAATCAGCCATGGGTATACATGTGTTCCCCCCCCTTCTGAACCCCCATCCCACATCCCTCCCCACCTATCCCTCTGTATTGTCCCAGAGCACCAACTTTGGGTCCCCTGCTTTATGCATCAAGCTAACGTGTGCCCTTCATGAACACAGAAACAATCACACAAGCTGTTATCCCTCCACATAACGGGAGCTTCATAGCTGAACTGCAGGTGACATTTGGGATAACATTGCTATCTCAAATATGAGATGTGAAAGTGTTAGTCACTCAGCCATGTCTGACTCTGCGACTCCGTGGACTGTGGCCTGCCAAGCACTCCTGTCCATGGAATTCTCCAGGCAAGAATACTGGAGTCGATTGCCATTCACTTCTCCAGAGAATCTCTCCAACCCAGGAATCAAAACCAGGTCTCCTGCATTACAGGTGGATTCTTTACCATCTGAGCCTAAGAGCTAATCATGCCAAGTGTGCCTCAGACAGAATGCAGGATTCAGAAAGAAGAAAGCTCTGCTGCAGCATTTGGAGTCTCTGTAGAGGTCTTTTCATGCCCTTCTAAGTGTTTGTTAAGAGAAAACCTCCCTGTAGAGATGAGGCATTCAGGGCACCTGAATTGTCAGAGGCAAGAAGAGTCTTAACCCCCTCTCTCACTTCCCTTGTTTCTTTTTGGATTGACAGGGGCATCCCTCAAGTCACAGGAGCTCCACTGACAAACAAATGGGAAATACCAGGAAAGCAATGCTTGCCAGCTGCAAAGATGTCAGGCTCAGACTCCTTTTGAAGTTAATAGGAGGTAAGCTGTTTTTTCTCACCCTTCTCACCAGTAGAGATGAAGAAATAAATTGTTAATGGAAGGGAGGCTCTGATGCACAGACTGTCCAGCTGGAGTTAACCATTGTGCACTGCTAGCCAGTCTAAAAACCATCTAGGTCTCAGTGACCTGCCTCCATGAGATGATGGTTTGCAGAAGACTCACTCAGGCCATTTAAATATCCATACCCCTGATATGCCTTCACAGGATTTGCAGGTCACCAAGTAATTCTTAAATATTAATTGATATGCATCCAACAACAACATTCTTCTATGGGCCAGAAATTTATTTCAGTGGTAGCCACAACTTCCTTGTGTAATGTTTGAAGCAAAAAATATTACAGTGGCTGATAGCAAATACAGAAAAAGCCAGAAAACTCATCTCATCTGCTTATCTCCTCATTTTCTGAATGTTTGTTTATATATTGTTTTGTATTCCAGGCTCTTTCCCCAGACTAAGTTGGCGTTCCGTTAGCACCTTATGGTTTCCCTTTTGTAGCATTTATTACTTTTATGATGATTTGCTTAATGCCTGTCTTCCCTATTAGACCCATAATACCCATGAGAATTGATTGCATTACTCTTACTCACAGATCCCCAGGAACTGGAAAGGTGTTTACGTGTTATAGTGACTATTTACTGAATAATGAATGAACACTGCAGGACTTTGACACCAAGTCCTCACTATTTATTCAGTTCAGTTCAGTTCAGTCACTCAGTCGTGTCCGACTCTTTGCGACCCCATGAATCGCAGCATGCCAGGCCTCCCTGTCCATCACCAACTCCCAGAGTTTACTCAGACTCATGCCCATCGAGTTGGTGATGCCATCCAGCCATCTCATCCTCTGTCGTCCCCTTCTCCTCCTGCCCCCAATCCCTCCCAGCATCAGGGTCTTTTCCAATGAGTCAACTTTTTGCATGAGGTGGCCAAAGTACTGGAGTTTCAGCTTCAAGGAGGGGGCCTTTTCTTATTGAATTTGATTTACAATGTTGTGTTCATTTCTGATACATAGCAAAGTGATTCAGGTATACATATATATAAACATTCTTTTTTTAAAATTTTTTCCTTTATGATTTATCATAGGATACTGAATATAGTTCTCTGTGCTATACAGTAGGTCCTTGTTGGTTAATCCATTTTCAATATAGCAGTGTGTACATGTCCATCCCAAACTCCCTAACTAGCCCTTTCCCCCATCCTTCCCCTTGACAACCATAAGCTAGTCCTCGAAGTCTGGTTGTTTTATAAGTTCATTTGTATTGTTTCTTTTTTGATTCCATATATAAGGGATGTCATATGATATTTCTCCTTCTCTGACTTACTTCACTCAATATGACACTCTCTAGGTCCATCCATGTTGCTGCAAATGGCATTATTTCATTGTCTTTTATGGCTGAGTGGTATTGCATTGTGTGTATGTGTATATGTGTGTGTGTATCACTTCTTTATCCATTCATCTGTTGATGGACATTTAGGCCCCCAAAAGGAGGGGGACTCTTAACCACATTAGAATATGTGGGAAAGGCAGTTTAAAAAGAAATAAAGTCATCCTTGCATCCTTCAAGTTCTTCAGCTTTACCAGTTTGCAAAACACTTTCCAGTGTGTCCTGTTTTTCTATTTCCTTTTTGAGGGAGAAGGTTACATTTTTTATTGTCTTAACAAACCTTGTTCTGTTTTAAAGAAAATTCTTGAGAGCTTGTAAATGCAGATGCACACAATTAACACTGTACTTTATAAGTATTGATTATTATTTGTTAATCTTTGAGATAGTAAAACCAAAATAAACGAGTGAACCAAAACTCTGTCAGAAAAGAACAGATTGAATCTTATGAAGGATATTTGATGGGCGCTCAAATAAATCAGAAAACTGCTTTGTTACTACCATGGTATGTTTTGTTAATAACTGATGTCCTTAACACAGAATGTTTGCATTAGTCTGGAGTGTAGAACATTGGATTTTCAAGGGCCAGTTTTAAAGATTTCTTAATCCTGGATCAATCACAAAGTGAACTTTAAAATAAAAATTGATTTCATTACCTCAGGTGAATTATACATCTATTGACTTAAAAATTAAAAAATCCTCACAAGACTATTTTTTTTCTCTTCCTATTTCTTGAAATTCATTCTCTCTTAGCCCATGAGTTAAGGAAACCTTCATTCCATGTACTGTAATCTGAGCATAACTTAATTTTCCGCAAACTGGGGTCCACAGACTAGTAGGAAATGATTGCCTTTTATTGGGGTTTTGTGAATTCCCTCTGAAATGTGTAAAGGGATGAAAGCATGCACTGAATTGTGCAGATGAACATTTTTAAATGAAATATGGCCACACGGTGTCCATATCTGGAGGTTTTAAAATGTATTGCAAGTTCTCTCACACGCCTCCCTTAAAAAGAAGATTCTAATTTTCCTTCCTGTGGAAGCAGGAAGGACTTAGTGACTTGCTTCTGACAAGCAGAATGAGGTAAGGTGGTCTTACCTGACTCCCAAGTCTGGGTTGGGAAGGGCAGTATGGCTTCCACCTGGCGTCTGTCTTGGGGCATGCACCTGGGAAAACAGTGAGGCGCCGTTTAAGAAATACAGCTTTCCCGAGTGGGACCTAATTACAGTTAAAAGCTTTTGCACAGCAAAAGTGAAACAGAGCGAAAAGAAAACCCTCAGAATGGGAGAAGACGATAGCCAATGAAACAACTGACAAAGGATTCATTTTCAAAATATACAAGCAACTCATACAACTCAATACTAGAAAAACAAATAACCCAATCAAGAGTGGGCAAAAGACCTAAACAGACATTTCTCCAAAGAGGACATACAGATGTCTAATAAACACATGAAAAGATGCTCAACATTGTTCATTATTAGAGAAATGCATATCAAAACTACAATGAGATATCATTCACACCAGTCAGAATGGCCATCATCAAAAAAATCCACAAACAACAAGTGCTGGAGAGGGTGTGGAGAAAAGGGAACCCTCATGCACTGCTGGTGGGAATGAAAATTGATACAGCCACTGTGGAAGACAGTATGGATATTCCTTAAAAAACTAGGAATAAAAACACCATATGACCCAGCAATACCACTTCTAGGCATACACCCTGAGGAAGTCAAAACTGAAAAAGATGCATGGACCCCAGTGTTCATTGCAGCACTGCTTAAAATAGCTAGAATACAATAGCTGGAAGCAACCTAGATGTCCATCAAGAGATGAATGGATAAAGAAACAGTGGTACATATATGTAATGGAATATTACTCAGCCCTAAAAAGGAACACATCTGAGTCAGTCCTAATGAGGTGGATGGACCTAGAGCCTATTATACTGAGTGAAGTAAGTCAGAAAGAGAAAAACAAGTATCAAATATTAATGCATATATATGGAATCTAGAAAGATGGTACTGATGAACGTATTTGTGGGGCAGCAATGGAGATGCAGATGTGAAGAACAGACTTTACAGACAAGGATGGGGTGGGGGGAGGAAGGAAAGGGTGAGATGAATGGAGAGAGTAGCATGGACGCAAATACACTACCATATGTAAAGTAGATAGCCGGTGGGAGTTTGCTGTATGTCTCAGGGAACTGAACCTGGGGTTTCATAACAACCTAGAGGGGTAGGAGGTGGGAGGGAGGGGACATACATACACCTATGGCTAATTCATGGTGATGTATGGCAGAAATCAAGCCAATATTGTAAAGCAATTATCCTTCAATTAAAAATAAGTTTAAAAAATAGAAAAAAGAAGTGTGACTTTCCTAAAGCCATTGTACCCCAGAGATCCAGTGAAGATATTTCAGAGGCTGGTAGAGGAGCCCCAGCTATTTGTCTTCCCAGCCCAGCTACTGGGTATGCACGTGATTAAGACTTCCAACTTTAGCCACCATCTAACTACAACCTCACGAAATACCCACTAAGTCAGGACTACACAGCTGATTCCCTGCTGGGTTCCTGACCTAAAGAACCCATGAGAGGGACATGATGATTGCTGTTGTGAGCCAGTGAGTTTTGTGGTGTTGGTTACAAAGCAAAAGATAACTACTCGGTGTCTTTCTCTGCAAGTGGGTTTGTGATACAAAGGAAACATGCATCTATTAGAGAGAAGGAGAGCATAGAGGCAGACGTAATAGATGCACGTCAAGTGAAGGGCGAAGTAGTGTACATGGAAGGAAGCGACAGGGAAATTGCTCGTCACCCCTGATTTGATGTTTGAGGCGGGTTGAACTCAAAGGAGTCTTTGTTAAGTCAATATCAGACTTGTGTCGCAAGCAGTTACTGGGCTTGCAAACAGAACAAGCTCAGCAATTCCATTTAACAAACGCAATCAATTTTAACTGCATTGGCTTGACTTGGCTTTTATTTTTTCCTCTGATTCTATTTGACTCTATATCTGCTTACATCTAGCTTTATATGTATACATTTTAGTAGTATTATAATAAAGTCATTGAAAATACCAGAGATCCACAATGTTTCTTTCAAAGGAATTTTAAATTTGAGAATAAATGAGGGAGGAGTATCAGGAAAGCATGTGACACACTTTGATCTCATTAACTGTTGCCAAATGAAGTAATGCCTACTACTGTGTACCCTGTAACATTCTTCACAGTTGTCCATATATGTAACAGTTCAACTGGGAGGTTAGTGTATCTGCCTGTAAGGCTCTCAGTTTAAGCTATGTTTCAAATGCCTCTTAGTTATGATGATGTTTTCAGTCCTTGTTTCTTAGTATGCATTACCTGACTTTTTTGGTCAGCGATCACTCTTCCTATTTGTCCATTTCAGCTTGAAAACTGCCACCTGTCTTTGTAGTGTCCTTGAACTCACCAACTTAAATTTTTGAGTAGGGAACTTAAATGACATTCTAACCGAGACCACAGTGAATGAGTTCATTTAGCAACTCAGCTTTGTAATTTTTCTAAATTCTTTTGACTGTTCTTTCATTGTTTTCCATATTTCAGTAAAGCTAAGTTGTCATAATGGAAGATGT